CCAGTGAAATGTTTTGCAGTTTTCCATATGCTTGTACATACACACACCAAAGCCACATACATATGCAGACACACATGCAGTATTGGGCAACATTCCTTCCTTTCACTCGCTGCCTACTGTCACATTCATACTTAAAAGGGAATTCCGCTGACTTTTCCAAGTTACTGCTTAATTCAGTGGTTTAGATGTAATCAGAGTGGTTTAATGTGGAATGGTTAATTGTAGAAAAACTTACTGACTTGGATTTCTTCACAGTGGTGGTGATAGGAACCACAGATTGTCATGTCTACAACAAAATATAGCCATTGTATTTAATAGTCTAAATCACAAGGGAACCTACACATCTTCTGAGTTTTATATGTAAAGTTACTAATGGTAATATGGTCAAATTCTGAGTGGTTCTGTGTAGATGGTTAATAAATTCTTAACAGATTATTAGTAACACATTAACAGCATATCAGTGAAGTAGCAGTAGTGAAGCATCTGAATATATCAAAGTATCTTGAAGGTGTACTCTTGATACTTACATTCAGTCGAAGTGTTGCTGATATGTTGCATAAAGCAGACTTTATATGCTACTTCCATTAAACAAAACCTAACCTGACCCAACCTTACCTAAAAACCTAATCCTAACCCTGACCTTAACTTCAACCCAAAACCTAACCCTAACCCTCACCGTGACCCTAATCCTAATCTTAACCTTAACCAAACCCAATCCAGTTAAGCTCCAGTTAGAGAACAGTGTCAGCAGCAGGTCTGTAACAGTGTGTTGAGGATGTTGAGATGGTCTGTATTAGACCTGTTACATGTTCAGTGACCTCTCAGGTTAACATCTACAGACATGAACTTGGACTCTCCAAATAAAGTGAAAAAAACTGAATTCAGCAGATTATTAACAAATTTTATTTACAGAGTTAATAAAAAATCTCTATATAATCTACTGAATGTATTTACTGCTGCAACTTCATTGACATACTCTTGATATGTTTTTTTATTTATTTTTTATTGGGTAGGGGGCTATTTTGCATACAGCACTATTCATGTACCTTTCTACCATAAATGGTTTTAAAACATGTTTCAGACCAAAACCTTATCATTAGAATTATGATAAACACAATGCCTCAGGCATCTGGCAGCGTATTCATAACTATTTTGTGTATTAGCTATCTGTGAGGGAACTTTTAGAGGTATTAAACTCTTCAGATGTCTGGTTCCTATCACCACCACTGTGAACAATATAGACTCGGTAAGTTTCTAAGGAATGAAGCATTTTGTATCAAACCATTCTGAAATTTTGAAAAACTCCCCTCTAAGAAGTCCATCTTGCAAATGCAGACATAAAGGCTAGAACTCTACATCAGTCAAATGTTTCATATGAAAAGGGTAATTTTAGTTTTAGGAGATGGGCTTGGCATTCTTCACTTTGGAATGTGGAATATATTGCAATATATTGCTGTATTTAAAGTAGAATTAGGAATATGGAATAAGTTGTAGTACATTAACATATATACAGTAGAATCCTATATGTTCAGCATTATATTTGTATTGGTATTGCGCTGCTGTATTTCATTTTCTAGGGGCATCTTCATACAACTGACCTAATCATTTTCTGCTCACAAATGTGTCCTTTCATAGTGACTTTTGCCAGGTTGGACAACAGAAATGGCTGGTTAAGAAAAACTGTTCATAATAGAGTTGCTATGTAACACTGAGTTTCCAGGTTAAAATGCAGTACTGGACTGGACTCTCTTGTAGCTAATGAAAACTAGACAGTTTGGAAATGATACTGAAAAATTTACCAACATGCTAAGAATAGCTTGATTACATAACATCCTATAACCAGGTTACCTTTGACATGCACACAAAATAAATGATTTGGAATGCACTCTAAATGCCTGCATACAAAAATCTAACAACTCAGCTCAGTGCAGAAGTCCAAACCTCTCAACAGTAGCTATGAAAGAACATATTTGTGGGCGGAGCATTTTACAGTCTTGGACAACTTGGGTCCAGTGCTTTGAGAGAATGCAGAAAGTTTCACAGATGCTTCAGCCTGCCTGATATTTCCTCTACAGTGTGTATGAATCTTTCACATGCTTCATGTATTAGCAATGAGGACAGATACACTCCTTCTCTCTCTCTCTCTCTCTCTCTCTCTCTCTCTCTCTCTCTCCCTCTCTCCCTTTGGTCTTTTCTCTCTCTGGCCTCTCACTGTCTTGCACACACTCATACATGTACACAAACACAGTAGTATGTATTCCTGTCTTTGTGTGGTCTTTGCATGGTCTTCTGGACGAAGGGATGTTAATGCTGCTATCCCCCAACTAATGCAACCCCAACCTTAAAGGGAAATTCCACTGATTTTTCAAAATTTCTGCATAGGTAATAAGTAAGGTGTGATGTGAAATGCTCCATTCTAGAGAAACTTACTGAGTCAGTTTTTTTTTTCACAGCAGTGCTGACAGGAAGCAAAAAAAGCCTCTAAAAGCTACATCACAGGAAATTATTACGTGAAATATAAATACATTGCCTGATCACTGCGAAATTGTGATTAATGTGGTAGTTTCGCGATAAGATTTTGGCCTAAAACACTTCATTCAGGGCATTTTAAAGCAAAATAGCCCCAAAGAAAACTTATTTCTTTAAATTTGCCACAAATTTAACATTATCAAAATTACATATAAAAACTCAGAAGACACGCATAGGTTCACTTTAGATAATAAATAATGTAGCTATATTTGCAGTGTAGACATCACAACTCTTGGTTCCTCTCACCACCACTGAAAATAATTCTGAGTCAGCAAGTTTCTGTACAATGATCCATTACTCATCAAACACGATGGATGATTCTTTATATCTCAACCACTGAATTATGCAGAACTTTTGAAACATCTGTGGAACTGCACTTTAAAGCAACCACCCATTGGCTTCTTTTATAAATGTGTCTTGAACTAAGGCTGATTTATACTTCTGCGAAGATGCGCATGAACATATCTGTGTTGAGACACAGTAAAGGTATGAGTAAGGTATATGAGGTTTATGAGTAAACGTAGCTCGCAGATGTTGACGTTGATGAGATAAATGTTGATTGGCTATCTGACAGTGTCAGGGTGGGATGAGACCCAAACAATACTGAACCCAAACCAGAACTAGCACAAATTTGAAATTATTCATACATTTACCTATTTTCCAAAAATTACACAAACAGTGAAGTGAGTATTATGCTTCATTCACATGTTGGCTTTGAAGATACTGTCATTATGGCCTCATTAAGAAACACAACCGACAGTGGCGTACAACCATAAAAATGTTGCTATGGTGACAGCATTTCTGGCCAAAATGAAGAATTATGTCACTTCCTTGTTTAAGGTGGAAAAAGGCATGTTGTAAGTCAAAAGAGTGCTTCTGTACAGCTTTAGGTAAAGTATGTTTCATAGTTTTGATCCTATGCTCCTCATCTGTCTTGAGAAAATGAGTACCAGGATCGATGCATCCCTAATCATAATACTTAAAGACACTTTCACATTACATCATATTCATCATGATATTTTGTTTTTGTAAGGTTTGCTAGGTTGGAGCAGACAAAAAAGCACCAGTTGTGCCACATTTAAAAAGGAATTCTAACATAAACTATGAGCACAGTTTCACGCACAGCAATTCACTAAATCCAATTAAACCGGACTAATTATGGTCTCTTTTTAATCAATATCCATGATATATTCTGAGATGCATATTGTGACATAATGGGGTGTAATTTATCACAATATCTGTAAATATCATCATATTGCAAACCCCTAATTTGAAAAATGCTGGAGTATTTTTTAACATCAGCAAACAAAAGATCAGCTTTGGTCTCTTTTTCTGTTTCTGATCGAAGCTGCAATTTTTCAGGGAAATTTTCCATTACTGCACAGCAGCCAAATGCCCCCACAAAGAGATAAATACACACACGCTGCTGTATATTTATGAAGCAGATATTGTGGTGTTCTCCAGTTTCCCTAAACAGAGAAAAGCAAACTTTCTTCATGTATTATTAATCTGTTATTGTAGCGTAATGGAACATAAGACAGAGAAGAGTGTGTGTGCTATTTGCTTCTTTTGTTCGAGGTCAGTAAACGCAGCCATTTCTTTGAACTGGGTTGGAAGTTACGCTTCCTTGCCTCTTCTTAATGCATATTACAAGACACTCTTTTGTAGAAAAAGCATGCTGACACAACATGTACCATGTGCAGATGGTGACGGTGGACAGAAGCTTTAAACATCAATTGTTAGAAAGACTGAGCTTGCAGCATTTCTGCCAAAATATTAATAAAACATGAAAGCTCTTTCTGTAAGAAATCTCACTGAAAGAGAACAGCAGAACAGATGCATTTCATTAGGAATTTAGGGGCCTGTGTTTGAAAGGGTTTGGATATAGCACTTTGCTAAAGATATTTCCTTACTTTAAGTGGCTTATGTGTGTAGGAAAAGAAAACTTGAACTTTTAAGCTGCTTTTTTTATCATCTTGATGGAGACATTCAGTTACATTGTGCTTCCTCTATGCCTGTCCCTGTTCTTCTTTTTCAGCACTTGCAGAGTCTGCACCTCTGCAACCCTTATTTTGCTACACACTTGATTTATATTACATAATTTTGTATATAAGAATGCATAACTACATAATGAATTACATAGTTGCAGTACGCATTACATCAACATTTAACATTTAATCAACAGGTTTGACTTCTGACTTTTTCTCAAGCAATGACAAAAATAATGGCAAACCTAAAAAGGGCTGTTTTGCTTTCCACAAATCAAGACTGCACACACAACAATAACTTTTCATCAAATTCAAATCACAGTAAAATGTCTACTTGTCATCTTACAAGTTTGAAATCTGTGCTTGTTTCAATAAACATGATTTTTAAGAGTTAACTTGCATACCTTTGTATACATGGTTGTCTTGTCAGAGGAGTAATATTTTGAACATTTCCTGAAGTTTGGATTTGTGTACTATCTGCAGGTTTGCTGATCCAGGTGTGTTTTCTCACCGCTGGGGTCATGGGAAGATTGGTGGGGTCCACGATGATAGGGCAGGTGGTCCTTCCTCTCCTCCTCTTCATCACCTTCATCTCTGCTCTTTCTCCACCACAACCCAGAGTCTTCCTCCCCTTTCAAGGTAAGTTGTGATCTGTTACTCCTTTTTAGGATAAGTTCCAGCTGATGTGATGTTGTTTTAACATGGAATACCTTGTACTTCCACTCACTGTTCACGTTATTAGAAACATCTACCTCATAGGTCCACTATATAGATGTACAATTACAGTCTAATACTTCAATTTATCAGTACCCCTTTAACACAGGAGCTATGAGGTGGGAGTTTCAAAAAAAGTGGACAGTGTGTTCATATTTACATGCATTTACATATTACGGTGGTTAGACTAATTTTTAAAATAGAGAATCAAAGTTCTCATGAAATGGAATCAAATCCAGCATTTCACTTCTATATCATTTATTCTATATCATCTATATCACTGTTTTTGTTGAATTCCTTTTTTGACACACATTCATAGCTATCACTATGTTCAGTATTCTGAGTAAACCTTTCTTTTAGTGAGTTCACGCTCCGATATCACAAGGTTGTTGCGTAATGCTTCACCTTTGCCTTTCCTCTATGCCCCCTTATCATAAGGTCACTTCCCTTTTTAGAGCCACTTCCCCAGAGAAGCTTCTTTAGAATCTTCTGAATATCCCCCTAGATGATCTCCTCTAAACCAGCTGTGAAAGGTGACGTCATCTATCTCAGTAACAATCTAATGCAGCTGCCACCCGCTCCCTGCTGGATGCTTTCCCATTAGTATGTGCTAATGTGGAACAAATGTTTCCAATTCGACAGCCGTCATTGTTTGGATCCATTTCGATCAGTTGGGGGCTATTTTCATTTCTCATTTGCTTCATGTGGTGAATAACGCCCCTTATCATAGAAGCAAAGAAACTCTGGCTGGTAGATTTATGATATGGCTGTGATGTAAGTGAGGTTGTATAAAGAGGTATGAAAATTAGTTTGAAAGAACATCAGATTGGGCCAGAACTGGATGAGTTAATTATGATTTCAGTACAAAAACAAGATCTAAATTACTCCCTCTAATCTAGACCATCACTCTAACATACAGCAGAGAAGAGACACCTTAGAGGTTTAATTTGAAACAGCTTTTGATTGATTAACCCTTTCAGACCTACATGAAGGCCTCTCTGCTTTCGCATATCTTTGTGTTTTGTTATCGTATAATTACTGACAGAGCTGACAGAAAACACAAAAAAGACCAAAATGTATGTGTACTCTTTAGATGCAGTCTCCAGAAAATGCTATCTGAAGTCAGCTTCTTATTTACCAACTTATTGTTTGAATTTTCTGTTCCACCTTTAAATGGTGCAGCAGTTACGTTTAGGTGACATTTCAAAAAAGAAGATGGTGAATAAAAAGCCAATATCAGCCTCATATAAATGCATGCTTAATCAAAAAATATGATTAAATGGAGTATTCCAAAAGAAAAAAATAATAAAATGACTGCCGTTGCTGGATGCGTTATGGCGTATCTCAAAACAAACTGCTGCATGAACTTTAAGTTGCTTTTCACAATGGTGGCCACACAATTGCGTGACGTTATTGGAATGCTAAGAATAATTGCTGCTCTAAACTACAATAGGACATTTTAGTCTATAAACAGCCACAATAAACATTTCTATACACAAGCATTGAAGATATTAGTCCATAAACAACCTCGATAAACATTACTATGCCCTTGAACGGGAGACATTAGTCAGTAAACAGTCTCTATAAACATGACTATGCACGAGAATAGGAGATGTTAGTCCATAAACTACCTTAACAAACATTTCTATACACTGGAATAGAAGACATTAGTCCATAAACAGCCTCAAAATGCTCCTATGCACTAGAATAGGCGATATTAATCCATAAGCATCCTCAATTAACCCTCCTATGCACGTAAGGAGGAGATATGAGTCAATAAACAACATCAGTAAACACTCTTTTACAATAGAGTATGAGATTGTAGTCCATAACCAATCTCACCAATACAGGTGGTTGATGAAAGCTGATCTATATACAAAATCATAGAGCAGCAATGCAGCAGCTGCAGCAGCAGGACATACTGTCTGCTTTTTCTACAGATGTATGTATGTGGCAGTTTGATAGTGAAAGAGATGGTCCACATTATGAAACTACAGCTTAATAGCTTGTTCAGTGTTTCTGATTTCACAGGAAAATATTGCATCTTCCACTCTCGAAGACCCGAGAAGCAGCCATGCTCTAAAACAGGGGTGTCCAATCTTATCCACAAAGGGCCGGTGTGGCTGCAGGTTTTCATTCCAAAAAAACAGGAGCTCCCATGATCAGCAGTTTGAAGACTGAAACCAACTGATTAAACAAGTGGATTCAGGTGTGCACCAGCTCATTTTGAGTAAAAACCTGCAGCTACGCCAACTCTTTGCAGATAAGATTGGACACCCCTGCTCTAAAGATAACACGCTGCTTTGCCCATCTGGTATGATAGACTTAAACAGTATTATTATGTGAAACGCGTGTGGCTATATCAGTATCCTGACTCGAATTGTCCCACCTTTGAGAAAGAAAATTTGTCACTCTGTTAAATTTTAACTAGCATGGAAAGTTACAGACCCCTGGCTCAGCTTTACTGAAGATACTGCCCTTTATGAAAAGCTGCACCGACATGGATGGCTGGATGAATTGGAAGTGATGAAGAGGGAAAAAACGCTGTTTTTTGTCAGATCCCCCCCACACTCTTCACAGTGCCCACAGTGTGGAGTCTGCTTTGATCCCTTTCCAGAGCTCCAGGAGAGACGTATTAACACAGCGTAGATACTGCCAAAGAAGTTTGAAGTTTACTTTAAGTATGGATGCACTGATAATGGTGTGTGTTGTGTTTAGGCAGATAACCTGGTCTGCATCTTGGAGCATTTTCAATTGTGTATGTGTATCGTGAACTGACTCCTGAAAACAATCATCATCATGAACTTCTGAACAGTTGTGATTAGGGGTAGAGGTAGTTACCAATATTGACTTTTTCACAGCTTTCGTCTGAAATCCACACATAGATGTTTTAACTCCTTATCAATTGTGTTAGGAGATCTAGACAGTCATCATAGTGTTGACAATTGGCTGGTGGTTCTTATAGGATGTCTTGGAATTTGTATCATTGGTCCTGAGTAGCATGAACTAAAAATGCTGTTTCCAGCTCAGCGAGGTTAACTAAGTTAGCTCACCTGATGTGGGAGCTAGCAAGCTCATTCCCCACCCACTACTGAGCATGATTGTCTTCACTCACCATCCACAATGTTGAAAGTGAGACTGGGAGCACTTAGAGCACTTATAGACAGACTCAGTTAAAGTGAACTGTAATGGATGCTGAGTCCATTAAATATACTAATAAAGTTTAACCAAAAGTTAGCTGGCTAGCTAAGTTAGCTTATATGTAGTAGAATAGGTGATATTAGCCCGTAAACTACCCCAATGTACATTCCTATACACTAAAATAGGAAATATTAATTAGTAAGCAATCTCTCTAAACGTGCATACATTCTATACACAATTGATCTTTCATTGAAGAATGTTAGATTTGAATAACCTTAACAATAAGGTAGTTAACCTACCTAACTAAGTCTAACTACAGTGTTTTAGATTTACTAGATCTTAGTTTACAAATTGTATGTATAACCTTCCAGTTGGTGTAGCCCTTTCTTTATGTCATTTGAGATTTCTTTGCAATTTTCAGTGCTTTCAAGATTTAGATGTACATCAAATTTTCACCTAGCTCCTGACCTTTAGTTCTATTTTCTTTCCAAAAATAATTCACCAGACATGTCACCAAATTAATTTTCTTAGTTGAAAAACTGAATAATTAACAGACAATAACAGTTTTTAACATTTACAATTGCTTTTATCTAAAAAACAAAAAGAAAACGATGTAGACATCACAGAACTTTGATTGTAAAAACACATCTTTATAGTGAATGGAAAAAACATTAGTAGTAGACTATGAGACTGTTTCTTGTATTAAGTCTCCTTTGTGACGGTTTCTGTTTTTGTCTGGGTGGAACATTTAATTCCTTTTTTTCTGTTTACTGTTACTTACTTTTTATTATGTGCCTTTCCAGTCAGCACCACTTTCCTTTTGCCTCACCCCTCTCTCTTTCTATTTTTCTCATCATTTTATTCATCATTTCCTGCTCTTTCTTACTCTTTTTACCTCCGTTTCCTCTCACTCCAGTGGTTTGGGTTAGTGGCTCTTGTATCAACAGAAATGACGGTGTTAGGAGTTTGGCAGCTTGGCTGAAAAGTAAAATCGACCAGACAGAGTTCCTCATTTGTTGCTGAAAAGTGCCACGTTACCCTCTTCCTTCCCTGTTAATCTGGATGACCTACTTACTTAAAGGTCATGGTGATGACAGCCAGTTAAAGCTCAGTGGGTGGCTTGGTGTAGAAAGCTGGTCCTGGGTCAGTTCAGACAGTTTTGGACGCTATGACTAGTGCAGTGAAGTGCAGTAAAGTAGCAGTGCAGTAAAACTGTTGCCAGATCAGACATCTTCTGATTGAAGGGCCAGATGTGGATTCAATTAGTGTTTTTGTTTTTGGCTGTAGCAAGAAATTAATGGAAAATCAAATTTACACAATTTTCCCTTTAGCTTGAATGTAGTCAATCAGCAACATGTTTGTTCTCTGCTTCTTTATTTTCCACTAGAGCTAATGAGGCTTATGCAGTTAGTGTGCAATAGAAGCTTATGTACATGAACTAGCATCGTGCAAATTGCATGTCTAAATCATCACATAAATCATGCCTAAATGTGTATAAGATATCTAAAAACAGATGTCGCAGCCATATTGAAGTCTGAATTTCATCTGAATTTTTGTCCATGTCTTTAGATAATAGTATCTCATGCAGTGTCAAAAACCACACAAGCAAGATTTTGAGATTACTGAAAGCTACACTGTGTACGATTTGGGGATTTTGAGACCTTTCTGGTGGAAATGTGTAATGACACGCAGTGTGTGGAAGAACATTTTCTAATGTCGGTTGTGCTTCAGACACCTTCCCCGAGTGGATGAATCCTTGCATTTAAAGAGTATTCAAAGAGAAC